CCAGCAGACTGATTCCGAAGAGCGCTCAAGGGGAGCTGCCCCATGGGTGCGACAAGGACGGAGCTATACGGAAGGTATAGGAGAGCGCTCTTCGGAATCAGTCGGCAGGCGGAGAGCGAGCCCCTCCGGAAGGGAGGGGAGATCGAGGAGGGGCGGGGGAGGGAGGGGAGGGGGCTGGCACTAGCAAGTGGCGGAGTGGCGACCGACACCGAAGACACCGACCTACCCCATCCTGCAACAGTTGAGAGTTGAGTTGAGTTGGGCTGCCGCTGCGGCTGCGAATGCGAGGCGGGAGCGCTGCGCCGTGTGCTGTGTAGTGTGTCGGTGTCCGCCACCGTACCGCAGTTTCTCAGCAGAACAGTCGCAAACTCTGTAAGTCACGATACAAGTCGAATGTTTCGCATGCTTCGCAAACCTAAAACCTCATTGGCAACCTCCACCGTCATCACCATTGCATATTCAAGGGGGGTATAATCATATCTGTAACGGTGCATTTAGCCTACGCTACGGTGAGGCGACCCTTATCACCGAACTTGTGGAAGGTGCCAAGGGTTCCCTGTCTCAGATTTGGCCCAGTGGTAGTTTATTTGATATGCAATGTGATGGCTTTTCTAATGCGCCACCAAATCCGAGATGATGAATCCCCCACACCCCGCGACCAAAGTTTGGTTATGGCCCACCCCAGCCCCAGCTGAGGCGCAGCTCGCCATCGCCTGAGGGGATTTCAGCCAATCGCAGTCTTCAAAACCTCTGGGGCGAGCCATTCGGTAAATGAGCTATGGGAATGGTGTTCAATCAAATAAGAGGAAGTGGCGTGACGTACCGCCGGCGCTTAACACATGAGCGGCAGAGGTTAGGTTCGTGCGGTTTTTGCTTCGTCCAGAGTTCATACAGTTTAAAGCGGGCACGCATCTAGAACCATGGCATAACTTTTGCTTTTACCCAGGTTTACGACTATAGTTAAGGCATTATAATCGTTGAATGAAGACTTTATCAATGTGTTATGTTTGTACACCAACGTAGACAGGGAGACCAGGGCAGCAACTCTTAAAGATGGTGCAGGCTCATATTTTCGCTGAATCTAACCTTTATTGGACCACTCTTTGCCTCAAACCGAATCTGTTGCAATGTAGGGCATTTCAATGGAGCTGGGAAAGGCAGTATTCTTCTCAGTCAGGAAAATTACTTCCTTTTCCTGCTCCATTTAAAAGCCCTTGCTTGTTCGTCCGGTTAATTACGTGCCAGCTTTACGTTCGCCTAACGGACGGGATACCCTGTGGGTTGTATATGCGTGCGCGCTTACTTTCGTGCTCCTCACCACCGACTGTCTGACCGGAGGAGGGGTAAAGGGGGAGGGAAGGGCTTGCAGGCTGCGCTGCGCGACGAGGAAGTTAAGGTGTGTGTCCGAGTCCACGAGGCCGGAGGGCGCAGGTGGTGGTCGCGGCCATGGGCCGCATGACGCCCTCCCCCGTGCTCACTCCATCGTGCCCACTTCAACATGACCTGTGGTGATACCGCCCCCCACCCACCCCGGCCCGTCCGTCCGTCCGTCCTGTCAGCCACCAGGTATCACTACAGAAGGGCGCGGGGTTAAAGAGCCACCTGGTAAAAATGATACATAATTCAAAGATTACTACAAATTTCGGATGAGGCGCTCAAGCAGGCTAAATTTCTACGTAGTTAACATTTGGAAGATAACTCTCACCAAGTGGGCTGTTAAGTTCACTTAACGGTAATTCCTTTTCACTCGGGCGTTTTGGAAGGTCGGGTTTTCGAGGTGGAGGAGCGGAGGGGTCGGACGTGTTTCGTGCTGCTCCGTCTCCCCCCTTCGGGTTTGGTGGTTCAAACTCGGTTTTACAGGAAGTGCTTGGTACCTACGGATCGGCGTTGTGCTCCCGAGTGTGTGTGTGAAGTTTCGCTCCAATCAGTGCAACGGTGTGGAAATTATCAGCGATTTTCTTGGATTTCGTGGTGGCGTCCCCTGC